CAACCAGGAAGAACGTTAACAGAGGCAACGGCAGGATGAAGAAGACGGCACAGAAGAATCCTATGACCTGAAAACCCAACTTTAATAAAATAGAAAGGAGGAAAAACGTAGGAAGCATCCAGATGACAACGCACACCACCAGAGATGTCTTGATGTTTCGCCTGAAGCGATACCACAACGGCCACGCAACAGCTAAATACCTGCAGGAAAGGAGATAAATAATCTATGATGAATGTCAGATTTATAAAGTATTGTCTCTGAAAAATCAGACAAGTATAATCAGATAGTTACCTTTCCAAAGAGATACACACCATGAATCCTATGCTGACCATCAAACCATAAAAGTAGGTATAATGGACGATAACATTACCATTGACTAAGTTTTCTGCAATCATGCAGCAGAGCTGAATTAGATCAGAAAGAAGAAGGTTGATGATGTAGACTGGAGTGACGTGATCTTTTTTTATCTGCAGGAAAATATAAATATGTTCTGAGATGTTTCTTGTAAATGTGGTAAAGTTCAGATTGGGCCTAAAATAATCCAACCCGACCCAGAATGAGCATATCCACATTCTCCCTGAGGCCCAAATTAAAACAGACATATTAAGATTTTACTGCTTTTGTTTTTAAGTAAGCAGAGAAACGTCCTGTTTTAAATTTTGTTTGACATTTCCCAGCTCCAGCTTGTCCTGTGTTGTAATGGCAGGGTGAGCAGATGCCAATCATAACTTTATATCGTGCATTCACATAGCCGATTACCGAGGAAACAATTCTGGCCCGGTCCAGGTCCAGGCCAGGAATCTAAGCTGTAAAATACATTTTAATCTGGCAAACACCCATAATCAGGGCAGCTCACTGAACTAAATCTCTTATCATTTACTCACCAGGAGATAAACTGCAAAGATGGCAATTACAGTCAAAGGAAGTCCAATGCTTGCAACTATCAGCTGCCCCACATGTGCATACACAGTAACATTGAAGTTGTGATTGTGCATGTTGGATTCCTGAAAGCTCTGGTTGTACGTGTCACTTTTGTCTAATGAGGAGGCCTCTTGGTGTGAAACCTGTTTTTGGAGAAAAGCCATTGGAAAATAATCAAGTTATAATCAATTTTCCATTGACAACAGGAGAAGAAAGACAACAAAGAACTTCACAAATAGAGCAAAGGAGTAAATTGTGTGGACTTACAAAGTACCAAATCAGCAAATCTAAACCTCCAACATGGACATCCTACACATCGTCTTATGAAAACAGCACAATTTTATCATAAATTGCTTCCTGCAATACTGTTACATTTTAAAGGACTGCTGCTCAAAGTGTAAATGGTATCAGCTGTACCTGGGTAATACCCCAAAGTGCTTCACACTGCATTCAGTCATTCACATGCTGATAATGACAAGTTTATACGTTGTATCCACAGCTGGGCAGTCTGACAGCGGTGAGGCTGCCATCCCACAGTTCACTGGGCCTCTGAAGTGTCAGCAGGGGAAATGGTTTGCTTGGAGCAAGACTCAAACCAGCAGTCCATCCCTGACAGGGTGAACTCCTACCACCAGGGCCGCCCCAAGCCTCCATTGGTCCTAAGCAGAATTTGGTTTTGGGGCCCTTTATTTCTGCTAATAATGTGGATTGCTGCCATCAACAGTCAGATGACTGGATTATTTATGTGCCTGGTATACAGTCATTGCATCTCTGACAGAGCTATTTACATTATATCCTATCTGCATACATTTATCACAAAGCCGACTTATCTGCTCCGATTTCCTGAATTTTGGGAGATTGGTGATCGGCTGACACTTACATATGAAATATCACTATATTAATTGACATTTTGAACAAAAAAAAATTGGTATCTGCCAAAATTGGAATGGGCATATCAGGCATTTTAAAGATCAGTAATTAGTGATCAGTCAGGAAACTGCAGTCCTGCAACTATTCAGCAGGGTTTCAGACAGAAAGACTCATAAATGCCTCCCATCAGTCAGTGGGAGGCTCCCATCTAAAAATCTACATCTTAAAATAAAATGTAACTAAAACTAAGCTACATAAAAGAGAAAAGAAGAATTTTACACAACCTGCCCAGAGTGAAACTCCAGTGTGACAGGCAGAGACAAACATCTCTCTGCTTATGAGGAAAATCTTTTACACGTTTGCAATCGACCTGCAGAGAGCAAACATTTTGATGGGCTTCTCTGCTGTACAGGAACCGTTAAATGTTCAGTAAGATTCTTTACAGCATGCTGTAGAAATAAAAATACAGTGCAGCACGAAGAATTTGTCCTCATTGTGTCAGCTGAGCTGTTTGGATTGTAATTTTATTAAAATAGATTATTGACTGTAGCAAAAAAAAACATTGTACAGTCAATTTTTTGAATGTGACAATTCTCTGACCGTTACCTTCTGCCAGGTCAGTTAAATGTACGACAGACTCAGAGTTTGTTAAAACAACCCTGTTAGCAATCAAGAGTATGTTCCAGCATTAACTTGACTCAAGGTAAAGGCTGCCTAGCTTTCTGAAAACAGAAAATGATGCACATACATACGTACCACTTATTCTGAGTTTTTAATAATGCTGCTTTCTAAAATGATCCCTTGTTCTGAAAAAGGGAACCCTGAGTAACTCAGAGCATCGGTTTTCTACTCAGAGCTGGTCAACCAGACTTTCTGAAACCAGACCTTGTTTTTCAGGAAATCTGTCCTGTGAGGTTAAATAAATAGACCAATACCACAAAACCTAATTTATAACTAAAACCTGTGTGAAGAAACAATAGCATCATTACCAATAAAAGCTGATTAGATAAATGTTCAGAAAACAAACTGACCTTTAGATGGGTGCAGAGTAAGTCATATAGTCTGATGAACCACAGGAAGCTGTGAAACTGTGAGGTGACGAAGTGAACACACGTCAGTTTTATTTGTGAAGCAACACACAACAAACCACACAAATGCAGATGTGGGTTTATCAGTGTGAGAATGTGGAGTTTATTTTTTTACACTGAAGTTTATCAGTAATTAGATGCACTTCCTGTGATGAACAGTGCCACCTCATTTCCGCAGTGTTGGTGAAGAGTTTATGTTAAACTCAGTAACTCATGGTGTGCATTAGTGATTGAATCTTCACGGTTTGCATTTTACATAGTGCATGTGCACATGGGCTGTGTGTCTGTTGCAATGAACTCTGAATGTGCAAACACTAAGCTAGCTAGTTTGGGTACAGAGCAGTGTAAGATATAACATCTGTTCAGACAACAAAAAAACAGGCAAGGAAAGGCAGTGATGAATGCATGAGTACAACAACCTGATGGAAGCTCGTTTCTGCTGTCACTATGGATGGGCAAACATGGCAAAGCTGCTTTTTTCCTATGAGTTTTATTTTTGGTTCCTGTGTTAGATTAGGCACAACCACAAGGGGGAGCCATTTTCACTAAATAAACCACAGTGACTGTTAAAGATTTGCCCTGTTAGTTTGGTGGTGATGAAGTGAACCTGATCTTATCATGACCAGAACAAAGTTTAAGTAATGTTGATTTTTTTTCTTTCTCAGATATGTGCGACAATGTTCTTTAATTCAATACATAGGAAAGAAATGCTATTTAGCTCAATGTACAGCTTAAAATATGTTATTTTTTGCCTGCATTTTTATTTTTTTCTTCATCTTTTGTCATACAAGTAAATTTGCAGGAATATAAGTGATATCTGAAGAACTGACAAAATTATATATTTGAAGAATTTAATCTAAAAAATGTGTGTATTCACAAAGATAAGTTTGACTTCCCTGAATAAACAAGTATATTTTAGATGAAACTGAGATGGAGGTAGATGAAGGCAGCTAACAGCTATATAAAATTATTCCTATCTTATCTCATATAACTAAAGTTGTTGGAGAAAAACAGTTTTGTTTTTCTTTATTTTTTCATTCTTCAATAACATCACAGGCAAAATTATGTAAAGTCGGTCCGCTATCTTTGTGTTGCTGGTTTCTCCAGAGCCTCTGCTGTCATGCTGACACTCATTCTGTTCACACCAGAGGATCTGGAGTCAGCACAGCTTCAGTCAGCACAGCTGGAAACTGGAGGTCAGGCTGAAATCTGGGTGAAGTGGTGAACTCTGACCTTCAGAGCCACATACAGACAGTTACAAAGTCGGCCTTCTGTCATCTGAAGAACATTTCCAGCATTAGAGGACTGGTGTCTCTGGGAAGTGTTTTAAGGTTAAACTTTAGTTTTGAAACACTTGAACACTTTATAATGTTTTTCTCTACTACCAAGAAGTAATCAGCGTGTGTCCAGTCAGAAAGGACAAATATAATCATATGTGATATAAAAGCTTCACTACAACCTAAAGACCAGGAAAGTTGGAACCTTTACAAAAGTTGAATAAAATTAAAAAAGTTTGAAATATAACATTCAGGCATCAGCGGATATTTAATTCACAACCAACGTAGCTACACAACGATAGAAACAGATGACAATTAAGAAAGAAAATGAATAAAAATGTCCTCATGTACCAGAAATACCAGGCCTACATTTTTTTTCACAAACAGCTCTCTTGAAAAGAAAACTAATATTCTTGTTCATATCTTAATAGTTACAGGTCCAGTTTCCCCACATCATTCCTCTAACACGGTGGGGTTAAAGGTCATGTGAGCATCAGCGACCAGTTATTATTTGACTGAGGGCAGCAGTATCATTATATTCAGCTATATTGTTATTAGTTAAATGTCAGTGTCGAGAGGCAGGCCTCCAGACTGACCAACACCTAATATGCACTCAGTCTCTGAAATAAAGAAGCTGGGAAGCTTTTTATTTTTTCAGTTGTTGGGTTTTAATAAAAGAATCATGAAGAATTCAAAATACATCAAATAAAAGCAATCTCTTTTGTAATAAATCCATAAGAATACTTTAAGAAAATAAGATGTAAACATATTTATCCATCAGTGGCACCTAAACAGCTGTAGTTTGCAGAGCAGACATGTTGTCATCATCAGTGCTGCTGATATTCTGATTCTCAGACATTTTACAGGAACACAGTGAAGCCAAAATCTTATCAACTGCACTTTTCCTCAGAAAAATATACAACACTGAGTCTGCAAGAGGACTTAGACACTGACAGACTGCAGCCACAGCTTCAAAAATGACATTTTCTTTCACTTCCTCAAAAACTAAACATAATACAACAGGCAGAAAAAGTAGAATATATGTAAGCAAAACCACAACCAGGACTGAAAAGATTCGACGTTTTTCCTCAGCAGAGACACTGCGACTTTCAGACAGAACCTTAAAGGTCCCAACCAGGCAGAAGATGAACAAGGGAAGAGGGAGGAGGAGAAACACACCCAGTATGGTTCCACTGGTATTTAGATCAAGGGGAAGATAAACGCTCAAGATGAAAATCACAGAAAGGATCCAGACTGCAACGCAGACCAACACAGATGTCTTGATGTCTTTTCTAGATCTGTACCACAGCGGCTTGGCAACGATCAGATACCTGGAATAAAAGACACATGTGGTTGGGTACTGATGTAATGGTGTCAGACAGAAACAGATTTAAAGGAATGCAGATAGTTACCTTTCCAGGGAAACACACATCATGAATCCAACACTGGTTATCAAGCCAAGCCGGAAAGCATAAAGGAAGGAATTATTAGGACCTTCAAGTAACATCAGAGGAATTCTGCTGCAGAACTGGATGAGATCCGAGATCAGAAGGTTGAGGATGTAAACTGGAGCAACATGATCTTTTCTCACCTGCAGGGGAACAAAAAGAAAAGGAAATAAAGACAGAACCCACATTTATGTAGTTAGTAGATTTTAGTTCCACTAACATAACATGAGCTGCTTCTGTCCTGCTGTTTTCCTGGCATGTGTTTTAATTAGCTTGATGACAGAGAATGTCCACTCAGCAGGACAGAGGAAAATTCATGACAAGAGCTGGAGATCAGTTTCTCCAAATGTTCTGAAAAGCACCACAGCCTAGAAGAAACCTGCTGTGGCTGGATGTCGCCTTCAGTCAACAACTCAAACTGACAGACGCTCTGCTACTCTAACACACAGCAGGCTTTCCCAGCAATACAATTTACAGCGTTAATCACATCAGTATTAATTTATCATGTTTATGAGCCGTTAGTACAGCAAATACTCACTTTGAGTAGTTTATATTTCACATTTTATTAGGAATGGTCCTGCCTTTTTCAAAGTAGATTAGTAATAATATTTTGACTTATTACATAAAAGAACATTTTTCTTTACAGTGTAATAATCAGTAATTGTGTACTCGCCATTGATAAAACAGCAAATATGGTCAGCAGAGTCAAAGGAAGCCCAACACAAATAGTGATCCAATCCACCACATCCACATAGTGAGAAACAAGCTTTCTGTATTCATCATAACCGATATTGTGGTTAAACGCATCACTGTTGTTGGAGATGCTCTGATTGATGCTTTGGTTCCATGAGGTGCTGCTGACGACGATATTCTCCATCCTTCAATGTCAAACCTGCATGAGCAAAATAATGAATAATAGAAACTTTATTTTCCTTTAACACTTTAACAAACTTAGGATCTATGCTAAGTCCAGGAAAAAACCAATACCTATAGAGACTATTTTGTAAAGAGTATATGCATTGTTTATGTTTTAACTCAGGGGCAGATCTAGAAAAATATTTATGGGGTTGCAAGAGGGGGCAGGGATTTTTTCAGGGGTGGCAGCATATATATAAAAGAAAAAAATCCCTTCTCACCCACCGCGGGTGGTCTCTCTCTCTCTCTCTCTCTCTTTCATCCTCTCCTCTGAGCTCGGGTCCTCTACCGGAGGCCTGGGGGGGTGGGGGCCGGAACCCCCACACCCCCCGGCCCCTGGGGGGGGGCCCCG